CCTCTCCCCCGAATACAAAACGACCCCCTCCCACATGCATTAACCCGTTGATAGAATACTGAATATTATATTCCAATTAGTTTCTTTTATTTTTCAGTTTCAATTCCTATTTACCGTAAAGCTTATGTTTTCAATAATAAATAAAATGGTAAAAGCTTATTTGATTTTTGTCGGTGCTCAAATCATATTGATTTCATTCTTAAATAGACAACACAAATATGTTTCCGGCGATTTATTTGTTGGGTTCCTGTTGTATATATGAAACCGGTTTTTGTTTGTAAACAGTAAACTTTCAGAAAATATCCGAACAGAATCAGTTCAATACTCACCTTCAACTTGTGTCTATTAAGTGAGTAATCATTTGTTTGATCTTGTTTGTGTGTTTTAAAGGCAGCTGTTTTGTTTCGATTGTGTTTAAGATGGTTTCATATTTTATGGTGCACATTATCTGCCATCTTAATTGTATTTTTGTATAGTTTCTTGATTTTAACTTGTTCCTTATGATTGTGAGATGGAATTTTTAGCATTTTTAAGTCCAGGCCCGACGTGTGTGTGTGGGGGGCGGGGGCTTGCCTGATCCAGTCTTTTAATGGCACATATCTATACAAAGTTCACATTTTAACAACCCGGGATCCTCTTAACTAATTTGCTTTACGTTAATTACGTTAATATCTGCTAACTAGTGTTAATCGTTTTTGTAAACTATCGTTTTTGTTTCGTTTTCAAAAACGATTAGTTTCGTTTTCGGAAAAAAACGATAGTTTTTAAAAACGACCCATTCGTTTTGAACGTTTAGAGCGAATAGCGATCGTTTTTGTAAACATCATTTTTATTAAAACGATTCGCGACAGTTTTTTATACGTTGTTTTTAAAAAAAATCGTTTTTGAAAGAAAAAAATTTAATTATTGACAATTCTGTTAACTATCGTTAACGAAGGGTCGTCGTTAACGATTGTTAACTAAGGTCCAGAAATCGTTCACTAGGACAGACCCTGAGAGTGAAAACTATGGGTAAAGCTGGGTTTCCAAGTTAGGTTTGTTTTTAGGTTTGTTTTCAAGCTAATATAAGTTCGAATTGTTCAGATTTCGAGGATGTTGTCTGCGTCTATCTTTTTCTCCGTTTTAGCTATTTCTCAGGTATATATGGGAATTTAAGGGGG